GTTAAGGGAAGGCGAATATGTCCGGTCCTTAGTTGACAGAAAAATAGGACCATCTTCGTCGTCTAAGATGCATTTAGCACAAAGCTCGGTCAACCCATCATCATCAATTCTCGTCATGTTCCAAATTGATTTGGAGCTAAGAGGCTGCTTGAAATAGTGATGCCGTTAATATGAGACCGGTAGACGATCTTAAAACGGCTATGCCGTTAATTTGAGTCTGAGAGACGGTTTAACGGCGATGCCGTTAATTGGAGACCGAAAGGCGGCCCTGAGACGACCATGCCGTTAATTGAATATGAAACGGCGATGCCGTTAATTAAATATGAAACGACGATACCGTTAAATTAATATGAAACAACGATGCTATTAATTAATTATGAAACAGTGATGCCGTTCATGTGAGCCGAGAGACATCTATCTCGGAGACCGAGATGTGGAAAACCCCGAAGACTGTCGTGAGGGTTGGGGACGAGACTCAGATCTTGCCAAATAATTCACCGCAAAACTATCGGAGTGAGACAGGAAGGGTCGTGCCTCACAAAGATTGTAGAAACCGGCCAGAGAAAAATAAAAAGAGATGGTCGTGCCAATGGAGATCCGTCACGAGAGAGGGGGAGAGAAGCGTTACGCGCTTCCAGAGAGGAAAAGAAACGGACTGAGATCTAGGGTTTTCAAAACCCTAGAGAGGGGGCGGCTACAAGAGAGAGCCGACTGAAAACTAGGGTTTTCTAAACCCTAAAGAGGGCGGCTACGAGAGAGAGCCGACTTCTATCGGTTATAGATTTGAGTAACCATATTTGTATCCTAACGGATACAGTTACAGATATTTTCTCGGACATGAATACGGTTTAGCACCCCTATTCAATACACAAATACAAACTGTGAGCACCCAAGTTCTAAGAAGTTTATGTTAACTCTTGCAAGTATAAAATTAAGTACACTCAAGCTCTTAACTTTTTTATGAGACACTCAAGCTCTTAATTAATCTCACAACTTAGAAGTTTCCTTTGCAATCATAACAAATATTCCGTTAAATATATGGCATTTTGTTCATAGGTTTTTGAGTGTTCGGAGATTCATGGGGGAAATGTATTTGGTCTCTCCATCAACGAGTTTCTTTGCAATTATTAGGTTGGCAGCCTCGCTTGGATGATACGGATCCCAAAATACGTATTCGGAGCGGTTTTCGCACATACTTGAGGTGGGCCCACACGGTATTATACCAGCAAATCTCCCTCCATTTCCGCAACAAGCGGAACTTGCCGATTTGAACCCTGAACATATACCAAGTTGCATGTAAGTACCTTTACATTGATCACTAGTTACGAGACGGACATCATAAATTTGTTTTATTATGAATGATTATCCGGGTTAAGGAAAATAGAGATATGCATGCGACGCTTAAAATGATAGCTAAAATAAATTGAAGGATAAATTAAGTCCATAGAGCTTCACTTACCATATTTTTTATGATTAGTGATAAGTTCCATAACTAGATCATAAACATTTGCGAGAACAAATTTGGCTCCGGGGAGTTCTTGATTGAGTTGAGCGAGCAAGTCCCTTAACTTGCTATTGTATTGGAGTGCAAGTTTATTTGGTAAGCCAGCACACTCTGTCTCCTCAATTTGATTAATTGTCTTTTGATAAGGTATGCATCCTATAGGTCCCACATTCCCTATCACAAATTTCCTTGCATCAAGAGAATAAAGCCTCTGCAATTTGAAAATCTCATAAATGTTAAAATCTTCAAATAAATTTGATTGGCTATTGTCATAAACCATTGACAACTAGAGCATTCTGCTAACATCCACTAGTATTCTTGAATGTCAATCTAATAATAGTTATAGGCTTAATTGCACTACATACCCTATAGTTTCCCCTACTTTGTGCTTATATAACCTCAAGTGGTTTTTGCAGCTCTTACCATACCCCGTTCAAAGTATTTTTGATTTTTTATATTAAGAAAAACATGAAAAACTATTTTAAAAACGAATTGAAAATAAAATAATACAATACGTAAAATACTGACAGCTTTATAATTTGAAAGAATTAATGAGGGGAAATCTGAGGGAAATCGTCTAAAATACCCTATATTGGAGAGTAAGAGATTGACTTTAGAATCAGGAGCCAACATGTATTCCCCAGTAAAAACTTAAATTTTGATGGTTATTAATTATCAATTCTAAAATATTTAATGGAAAACACACGTCAAACCCTCCTATATTCTAGTATGATTTTTTCTAACTGATCCTCTATAGGTTTTTCCCTAAAAAAAGAAACAAAATGTATAAGCTAACATCTCACTTTTAACGAGTCGTTCAGAAATACAGGAGTTGCGAGGTTCATTTTGCTATGAACTGTCATAACATGTAGACCTTCGTATTTCTATCTCTTGAAATATCATGTTGGGAAATGAGGCCGCAGCTCATTTCTAGTAACTCCTTATAATTTCTACATATATTATCAAGCAATGCAACATTCTAGGAATTTAATGTTGCATATCAAAATAAATAAATAAATAAATAAATAAATAAATAAAAGAGAATCAAGAGAGAAATTTTACCTTGAGTTGGCCTTCAAAGTGATTGATGAGATGATCCACAAAGTCATCTGGGGTCTCACTCATCCTTTCAACCATGGAGATAACAGGAAGGAGATAGTTATTGAGGAAATCATTTGATCCTATGGTGATTGAGAATATGGATTTTCTCATTATGAACTCTTTTGCCTTGGATTTTCCTATGAGATCATCAATTTGATGTCTTGTGATGTTGAAGTAATCAGCTTGGATATCTAGCCCAAGCCTATTAATCTGCAACAAAGACAGTATCTTAGTATCAACAGTAGAAAATTCTTATATATAAGTATTTAACATTTTATATTACTCCATCAAAACAATAGCTTCTGCATTAATTCCAAAAGCTAATTCGCTTTCAGCTAGAATGAGATATACATAGTTGAGGGAACATACGAATATTCGTCCTGTTTGGTTCATGATTCCTCCACCTCCGGATGCATAGTTCACTCCATAGAGTATAGCTTTACCAGTTGTAGTTGGAGATAGAAACGGTGGTGCATAGTTGGCCTGGCCCAATAGCTCTCCTACATGAAAAATAAAATTAATATGAAACAAAGAATTCTATAGCATGATGAGTACTCAATATCTAATTAATTTTTTTGCTATCTTAATTTGGAAGTACAAATTTAACTTATATATTGCTAGGATTATGTTCTAAACTACATTTGGGGATCGTTTGGATCAACATAACTGTAATTACAATACAACTGTTAGTTGCATGCAACTGCAGTTACTGTAGCTGTTGTCTCATGTGATCATATTTTGCTTTTAAGTTTTAAAAATTCACAACTTATAATGGTAGGTGTAGTTGTAAGTGTTTGATTTGGGATATCACCATTTTTTTCAAGACTTGTTTGAAATGGTTCCAATTAAAGTTGCAACTTCAACCCAACTCATGGACAAAAACACGTTGCGACTATATATGGGCATGAAAAACTAAGCATAAATTGTGGCTCTGCCCTCGGAGGCCTTTTGCAACTGCAGCCTTGAATAGATTTATTAGTTGCAACGCAACGAACATCTACAACTAATCCAAAATATCCTAGTTAAATACGCAACTACATTTACAATTCATGCTGTCGCAACAAACCAAACATTACCATGGAAATTCTATCCTACGTTTTTACATAGCCAAGAGAACAAGAAATAGGAAGGAGAAACAGTGAAACAAAGAGCTAGCTGTAACTGATGGGAAAATGTAGTTATATGCAAAGGCAATTATTACGATCCATGCGGTCGCAGCTAACCAAAGAGTCCCCTGGAGATTATATATATATATCCTGGGTTGGTTACATATATAACTAGGCGATCACAAATTCAAATCGAGGTACTAAGAGTACATACCAACTAGATCCGCAATGGTTCTTCCGTTGGTGTAGCGGCCAGTGGGCTCGCCGGCGGAGGCCTCAAAATCAATACCGTTCGGCCGGATATTGGCCCTCGACAACGTCGGAAGATAGTTATTGTTCCCAGCGTCGACGAGCGAGTCACCGAAAATGAAGGAGGCTCCCAATCCTTCTTCACCTCCGACAACAAAAACAACCATGCTGCACAGCAACACAAACGTGAGCGTGCACACGCCCATATTGATGCTCTAAACTTTGCTTCAACGAGTGCAAGTGTTAGCAAGAGAAGCACTCGGAGCGAGTTTTATAGATGGAGAGAGATTATTACTAGTAGAAGAGTTGGGTGTGACCTTTTTCTTTTGGTGTAAATAAACGTATAAAGAGACGTGCATGGGTCTAAACTCTAAAGGTAGCTTTCTGTGGGGACATGAAATTGGAAACTTGGGTGGCTGTGTAGGTGAGAAAATTCGTTTTATTAAGAATTGACGAGAATAATAGAGAGAGGGATGGCTCAAAGCAGACGTTAAGCCCATGTTTTTCCTAGACAATTGCTCTTTCTAGAGTTTTGCTGAACTGCACTGCACATTTAAGTTTTAGCTCTGCTCCCAGTCTTCTCAGTTTGTTTGGAAACGTGATCAAAAGAATAACATATAGAACTGATTAAACTACATGCCTTCAAAGTCTTTCTTATTTGAAAAAGAAATCCCCAAAATCCGCGTTCTGATATGAAACTCGGAGTCTTTAAATTATTAAAATAATCCCATAGGCCATAGGTTACTGCGGAATTCACTAATCTTTGCCCGGCTTTGAGTTCACTTTTGATGGTGTTTTGATCAGGTTGGGCATTAATTGAAAATTTTAGAGATATACAGGATCATCAAATTATAAAGACGTTTGGGATTTGGAGAAAAACTGTAAAGCATGAACTGATCTCTTGTATTCTTTCAGGGAACAGAACTATCGGTGTATCCGAACGCAAGCCCCTCAACTTGAATTTCATATGCGGAGTCTACTCCGTAATTAGGCAGAAAAACTGTAAAGCATGTACTGAAAAGCACTTAGAAAGGCATAGATTTAGCAAAATAAGAGCTTAAATATGGTAAATTGTGCCAATTTCTATATCCTAATTCTTACAGCCCTCGCATTATATGCAACTATAATTTGCACCTTGGCCTTCCTGATGATTTTACAAAAATAAGTTAGACAAACAAAACTAGGAAACATTTCGCTAGTTTATTGATCAACTTCTTTCCTTTGCTCAAAAAGCAACAAACAGCTCCAGCATGGTTTTAGTCCAAGGCTTCAAGATGCATTGAGATTTTATCTTCAAAAAACTATCTTCTCCGACCCTGCACAAATAGAACGAAAATCATGAAGTTATCTATCACAAGTTTAGATATGTACAATGTATTTCCAGAGTTAAGAAACTCTCAGGAGACAGGAAATAGTGACTAAAATGATATTTTTACAACTGCACTAATAGATGTATCATGGGATAGAAGGTTAAGGCCACGATATGAATAGAAGGTTAACGTCATGTTATGAACAGATATCGCACTACAACGATCACAGAAAACTGGCTAGAGCGCATGAGAGGCTTTAGAGCTCCCAGGACATAACTAAGCTAGCTATACTACCCACCAATTAAATTGCATGATATGCGATAAAAGTCTAGTATCCACTTTGTTCACATTGATATACATGTTAAAGTTATATAAACGAAAATCACACATTTTATAACTCTGCATTGGCGCATGCGGGTTATCAGTAACAGTAAATTAATTAACAAACGTAACAAATTCTGATGTCTGAAAATTTGAGAATGGTCATATAGTTAAATGAAGGCACTATCCATATTAGTAGTTATTGAAAGTTGCATAGTAATTGCAGCTTCAGCTTTTAGATGATGCAGGGAAATTAGATGAGTGCAACAGCAAACAACTTGACGTAAGTTTCGAACCTGTGCAACTGAGTGGACTCAATGAAGAAAAACATAAAAGCAACTAGTTTTTTTTTTCCTCTGACAAACATAATAACATCAGGGCTTCATAGGCAGATACCTAAAAAGTTTGAAGACAAAGCCCATGTTGCACAGGTAGAGGTACGGGTACAGGACACGGCAAATTAGTAAAAGGAAGGGTACAGGGACACGACTTTAAATTGTACAGGACACGGCAAATTAGTAAAAGGAAGGGTACAGGGACACGACTATAAATATGTACGTTATCAATGTTTATACGTATTAAAATTAATAATTTACATAAGATCAATATTGTTTTTTCATTTACATAAGATCAATATATTAGAAATAATGTGAAGTGTAGAATATTACATCCAAGAAAGTATATGAGTGTTTTAAATTAAAACATGTATATAATTGAGTATACGCTTGAACAAACATATACATATATTTAACAAGTGTCCAAGAAGTTTTGGGTATGGGTACGGCTTCCAAATAGAAGTACCCAGGTAACATAGGACAAAGCTATCAGATTATTCAAAGATTTGTATCAGCAGATCGTCCTAATAGTAATTTTCCAAAGAAAGAAAATTAAAATAATCAAGAGGCAGCGTTTCATACATTTACAAAAGTAAAGGGTTTTTACCTTATATACCCCCAAAAACTACTCTGTTTTTTATTTACCCTCCAAATCTGCATATTTCGTAATTTACCCCTATGTTCTCTGACATTGGTTTCTTCCGCCCCCTTCATTTTCCTGTCAATGTTTTCAGAACTCTTCTATTCTATGGCCTGGCATAGGAGAATGAGCTTAAGTATTCAAAGCATTACTTCCTGATCTACTATTTTGTAATGTATTTAAAGGCTTTTGGATTTTCATTGATCGCCATCTTTGTCACCTGGCTTTCAGTGATATATATACTATTATTCACCAGTTGACTCTGATATCCTTTATAGCACACCACCACCTGCAGCAGTCACTCCTAGCTACTATAAAACATAAGGAATCTGCTTACCGAGGCTTCCATAATCGTCAATGATGAGCTGCTTCCGCTTCCTTGAAGAACCCAAACCAGTGGTCTCCACAGCTGGTGATTTAGGCATGAAGAGCTTACTCGGTGTCAAATTCTGCATGGTAGGTGAAAGGACTGAGCATACGATGAAAACAATAGCACACAAATATGTTTCATGTTGTAACTTGTGAATGACACATACACACACAAACAGAGAAACACAAAGAAGTGAAACTAAAATGTTATCCACAAACACAATGAGCAGATAGGTTATTCAACACAAAAAAAATTCAGTCAGTAACAACTATAGCTATTATCTACGCCATATTTGGTAATCACTGCAGAATTAAGTATCCAAATGGCATAGAAGAGAAAGGAAAGTTAACCACTTTTTAGTAAAGTTCTCCATATACAAACAGAAACACTGGGGATCATTCAGACATTGATTTCTCCATGTCCTTGTATATATAAAATGCACGTGCGAAGATGCAATGTAGATCTCCCACGTCAGTAGATCCTTTTTTTTTACAATAATAGGACGCCCTTTAATAATTTCTATAGGTAAAAGGACAAGTATTAAGGCAACAAACTATCACTACAATTGGATTGGTTGCGAATTGAGTGTTCAATATAATTGAGTCAGATCATCTAATTTCGTTATTCATCCAAGTTATTATGGTGATATGCCTTTTAGAATAAGATATAGCATGGCACATACCAGGACGAGAGGGCCATATGCCATATTAGAGATGATGGAGTATCCCTCCAGTAGGTAGTCTATGTAAAAACTATTCTAACAGTGTAGGAACTTCAGATTTGTGGTAAGGTATGTCACTGTTAAAATAGCTATCTTGGCATTAATAAGGAATCAAGAGGAAGAAAACCAAGTAACATCATTAATACACTTTAAATTTTCATGCCAACATAAAAGCATACCAATTTTAATACTATATTTTCCCAAGCTAAGAAGATATAGGACAAACCTTTGCAATCTTCTTGTCTTTTCGAGCCTGTTTCTCCCGCTCATCATATTCTTGGTTTTCTTTCTCCACCAAACGAATTAAAGTATCGCAGCGTCTGGCAAGCTCTTGAGCCGTGCGCGACTTCACAAACCAATCAAAACGAAATAAGGGTGATTGGCGAAAAGCTAATTTCAGCTCATCCCAGTTTCCGTATCCAAGTTTGTGCATCATGCATAACTGAAACAGTACAGTTAGAATCAAAGATGTAAGACTTGTGTCAAGACATGAGGCAAAACAAAAACAAAAAAAAAAGAATGAAATCAACCAGATAACAAAAGGTTAAATATTATACACACCATGAACCGGTCACATTCTTCATTATACAATTTTCCTTTGTTTTGACCATACTGAATCTTCAATTCTAACCATGGATTCTTGTAACGATCCAACTTTTTGCCAACAGCTTTCATTATCTCATCTTTCCTTGAAATCCTAGCCTCTCCTCTTTCTATGATTTTTATTATCCGATCATAGTCTATAAAGACATCAAATAAAAAGAGATGCGCGATGTTAAGAAATGAACTTGAGCAAATATCAATTCCATCAGTATTAACAATATCACTTAAGTACACTGAAGAAAGTTTCATGAAATACCAAGCATTACATACCATTTAATTCTCTGTATCTCTCCTTAAAGACTTTGGCGTATCTTTCAACCTCTTCTTCTGTTTTTCCCTCCATTTCCGAAGCTATGCTTCTTATATCATTACGCCCATACTTCTCACAAGCTCGAACAAATGTATTAAAGTCTTTCCTTGTCCATGTTGAGAAACCCTTAAATAGAAGAAATAATAACATCAATAACCAATAATAATAATAATAACATTAATAAGAATATTTCAACAAGACGATAAATTTCAACGACTATATACTACCCATACCTCTTCCAAAAGTTGTTCCTTTTCTTCTTGTTCTTCAGCAGTCAATGGATCCCCTATTATGTCTAAACAACCAATATACAGACATGTCAGCTCAAATAATAAACAAAATCATTATGCATATGTACAAAATAATAATTTTAATACCATCAGATTCATCATCTTCGGTAATTGTGTCCCTTAACTGATTCTTTTGGTGTGCCTGCACAAAAAAGATCAGAAGGAAAAAAAAATAACTAAATTTATCCACTCTTAGAAAGTAAGATTAAATTCATTTATAATTAAAATAACTCATCAACAGAATAAATTATTTTGAAAGATCAATAGGCAAAAGGCAGTATCCTTTTAGTCCATGGTGAAGAATGTAAAACTTGGTGTGATGATGCCCCTTAAGCTTGCAAGAAAATGAGCGGAACAAACTTTCATGTGGTGTACATGCAGAAGGTTCAGTTCACTTAATTTGAGCTACCACAAGTATGGGAAGAAAAAGAAAAAGGACCATGAGGGACTCGATTACTGACTTTTTAAGCATGTTCAGTGCATAATTAATAAAAGAGTAAATGTTGAGCCTCAGTTGGCACGTACCGCAAGATGATACCGTACTTCTTTTTCATATAAATTGTTCAATCTTTGGACGTTAAAAAACTGAAAGTCATGCCTGAAAATTAAATTAAAATGGAGAAAGTGATCAGTATTTTATTATGTAATGAGGGGAAAATCAGCAATTAACAAAGCTTACAGCTGCGGCATTCGGGGAATCCGTGGCTCTCTTGGTTTTGTCGGAGCACCTTGCCTTAATGCTTGTTTGAAGTAATCAGTGTCAGAATAACTGCAAGAACAAATGGGTAATTTAGTAGATTACAAAAAAAGGGCAATCTGGTGGTCAATGGTATGGACATACTTGCGTCTACGTTCCCTCTTGGATGGTTCTGTCCAGTTCTCACTAACAAGTTTTTTAAAGTCAACTTTATCATCATCCTACATATGGAAAATCAAGGAACAATAAGAATGGCAATAATAAAACTGGAACAACGGCACAGTGAAGCATTCAACACAAATAGATCATGCATTAAATATCAGAAAATAATTTAGGCGAGAGATGGTAACACTGAACTAAAGTACCTTCTTATCATCAAAATCGTACAAATCAGCATCTGCAATAAATTAAGACAAAATTTATGAAGTGAAATTTTTGATTCATGTGAAGAACAGGAATATAAATAAAACTAGTAAGCATACTGTCATCCATCTTAAACTTGATGGCATCTTCTGTGAACTTTTTCATTTTAGCATCAAGGGCTGCTGTTGCCTCTTCTCCTTTTGCTATAATTCGGTCAATATCTTCATCTGTTATTGTACTGTCCTTGGAGCTAAAAACCATTTCAGCACCAAACCTCACCATCTGCAACAGCTCATCTTTATTCACAGCTGCATCAACAAAAAAGAAAAGCATTAATTAAGGCATTAGCTTCATTAAACATAGTTCATAGCAAGAGAAACCATAAAAAACTATCGGCATATGACTGCATACTTTTCTGCTCGGCTAGGCGCCCTTGTTGAATCACCAAAGCATCAAGTGCAAGTTTCTTATATGCTCTCTCAATCACTTTTTCTTCAATAGTGTACTGCAATTTTATGGAATATATGTTGCATTATCATAGTTGCATTGTCATAGTTGCATCATCACATTCAAATAACATTCTTTAACATGGAAAGGTTGGCCAAACCTCTGTGCAAAAACGGAACACTTGAACTTCTTTCTTTTGACCAATCCTATGCGCCCGATCTTGAGCTTGTAAATCAACTTGAGGGTTCCTATAAACAGGAAAAGGTTTTAAGAAAAAAGGGAGGAAAAAAAGATGCAGGAAAAAGATTGACAAGATATGCAGCCAACTTGAGGTGAGGGAACTACCAGTCACTGTCATAAAGGATAACTATATCTGCGGTGGCAAGGTTAATCCCCAGGCCGCCTGCTCTTGTTGAAAGCAAGAAGATAAACTTTGAACTTCCAGGTTGATTGAAGGCATCAATTGAAGCATCACGTTCTTCTCCACCAGTATTTCCATCTATACGACAGTACTGGTATGCACGGAACATTAAATAATCTTCAAGGATGTCCAGAAGTCTAGTCATCTGAAATGTCAGCAAAGCAGCAACTTGATAAATTAGTTAAGCAACATGATGCCTTGTAACAAGAAAATGTACCACATTGCAACAAAGATTAGAAAGAGGCAAGCTCAGATAGGTAAAATGTTTGTATATAGATTTAGACTCCTTAAATTTGAGATCTTGAAGAATCATAGACCAAAGATTTTCTGAGTAATGTAGGTTTTCAAGTTTTTTTTTATCAGCATCAAACAACTCAAATCAGATAATAATGGAAACAGTGAACATTAGCCTTGCTCTTATCAACTGAGATAGGGCTTTTGTATGAAGATTTCTCCTTTCTTTTTTCATTCAATATATCATTTCCTCAGTCAATGAACAAGGAAAGTTTAATTCAAAAGCTAGATTGCCCGGTTATGGGTGTGGATGCAGTGCACGGTTATGGGTGTGGAGGCAGACACAAAGACAGGTGCGGATACGGGACACGGCAATTTGTATAAGATAGGATACGGGGACACGGCAATATATATATACATATTGAAATTAATAACTTATATGAGATTGATATTGTGTTTTCATTCACATGTTATGATAACTAAAATCCTTATAACATTTTTACGTTTCTTTTATTGAATAGATAAAAAAGAGAAAACACTTGGTTTTGAACTAGAAGCCCAAACAATCCTTTCAATCCATACTTATGAACTGTGTATGGGTTGAAACGAACTGACCTGAGTCCAACGAGTGACTCAACGAGTTGCAGGAAGCTGAGGTGAAGTGTGAGATATATACTTCCAAGAAGTGTATACGAACTAAAATGTGTATTATATAATTGAGTTCATCTCTGATGAAATATATGTAATATGTATATATTCTAGAATTGTCCAAGGAGTGTCGGACACGGACATGGATACGGGAGATTAGATAAAGTGTCTGGGTATCTTAGTTTAAAAGTATTACACAATTCTCAATAATTAGCTTCCCTAGTTTCTAAAATTCAAGTGATCCGGACCTGTGAAAATATCAACACTCTGGAGCCTCGTTGTTTTAGTTTCCGCAGTAATTTATCCAGAAGGACCATTTTTCCTGCAGAAAGAATATACATATAGATTTGTAATTTATATATCTAAATTATAATATGCAGCAACAAAAGGTGGACAGAAACCCACCTGCATTTGTAATAAGATGCTCTCCTGTTGTATAAGGCGGGCCAGGTTCTGCACCTTGGAACAAATATGGATGATTACAACATTTGCGCAGTTGCATCGCTATGTTTAGCAGACGTTTGCGTTCTCCACCAGCATTTACAACCTCTAAATCTTTCTGAAGGAGAGCACGATAATACTGCTTCTGCATCTGGGACATCCCTACTTTAAGTATAGTTTCCTTTTTAGGAGGCAAACCTTTCTCAACATCCGATTTAAGCCTCCGTAGGAGAAATGGACGAAGAACCTTCAGAAGACATCGATATTCTGAGTAAATATTAACTACATGACCAAATACAGGCCAAAATAAATTATCACACATGTTTTTCCAATTCACCTTGTGAAGCTGTTGAACAACCTCCTGCTGATCATTTTCTCCTGATATTTGAAACCACTCATCAAATGTTTCAGCTGAACTAAATATCTCCGGAAGCAGGAAGTTAAGAAGAGACCACAGCTCATGAAGATTGTTCTGCACATCCCAAGGAGTTGCAACATATAAGAATCAAATTACAATTGACCACAGCTCATGAAGATTGTTCTGCACATCCCAAGGAGTTGCAACATATAAGAATCAAATTACAATTTCAAAACTACTACATAATTTCTCATCAGGGAATAATCATTGACTTCTTTCTCATCAGGGAATAATCATAGACTTCAATAATGTTTTTTGGGTGGGTTTTTTTTTGGCTTGGGGGGTGGGGGTGGGGGGTTAGGATAGACCTGATGTTAATATGTTATACTACTCCAACTTAACATCAAATTCCAGGGAAAAACGATTTGAGTGTTCCTATAATGCTAGTTTTCTATCCATAACACCGGAGGCAGATATAAAAGAAATGTTTCATTACTGTAGTATCACATTAAAAAACTATCCTTGCTAAGATAAATAAGTGTTGCATGATGCTTACGTACTTATAAGTAAGTTCTGTGATGCTAACCTTACATTATAAGAATAAGGTAGAAGGATAACTTAGCGGGATCAGCAGCTTTAAAACCATTAAGTATAGGGTTAATTGCGCAGACCCCATGTAGTATCACCCAATCGCAAATAGACCTCCTCTAGTTCTATTTGTTATGAATAGACCCCCTCTGGTATTGGCCCAAGTGCGATTAGACCCCCTTAGTGAACTTTTTTTTTCGACTCTCTTAAAGTAAAATAATAAAAAAATAATTAACAATTGGGTGTCTACCCTCACTAACAGAACTATAGGGGGTCTATCTGCCTCTTCAAACATTTTTAATGATCTCAAGAGTGAAAAGGAAATTCACTCAGGGGGTCTATTCCCAACAAATAGAACTACAAGGGGTCTGTTTGCACTTGGGTGATACTCAGTGGGTCTGTTTGCAATTAACCCTTAAGCATATATAATAAGTTCTGGTAAGTTCTTCCCCGCTTTAAAAGCAAATAACTGTTTGCCACTAAAACTGGCTGTTATGGTTTACTAACTCGTTTTATGGTATAACAAGGAGCTTTTATAAAAACACGTAGGTGACAGTTCAGACTTCAGAGGCAAAATTTTCTCTTTTATCTCAACTGTAAAACCAGAAAAAAGAAAGCCCACTCATGCAATGGCCTATTTTTACTCCAAATGATCCCTCTCACCATATATTCATTACAGCTATTTCAAGTTTCTCTCGTTTTCTCTCTACTTGTTTTTAACTCAAATTTTCTCACCTGTACATCCATTCCTATCCAACTTTTCTCTAACAAATCTAATTCAAATATTATGGTATCTTCAAGAACAGTTAAATTTCAAAATACCAAACATCTAGCTATAGGGTTCTTTTATGAGTGTTATTCAAGACAAGTTCCTTACTAGTGTGTATCTATAAGTAAAAGCAAAACTAAACACACCATTACGGACATATACATATGATCTGATATGTATGCTGCTCACAAACATTATGACATTTGTGAGCAGTGTGGAGAAGCAAAATTAGAGTATGGAAGATCATGGATAAATAAAACAAACCTGAAGTGGGGTGCCCGTAATAAGAAGGCGATAATTGGCATGATAAAGTCTCATTGTCTTCGACAGAAGAGAATTCTCATTCTTTATCCGATGTGCCTCATCAATAATAACATAGCGCCAACTGAAGCGTCTCAAAGCAGTTTTCTCTTTGATGGCCATTTCAAAACTTGTAACACATACATCAAACTTCCCAGCAACCAGTAAGTCTTCGCGTATATGTTTCTGCAGGTGTTCAAAGATTTGTAAATTTATTTGCATGTCCTTCTAAATAGTTAGAACATCATATATAAAAAAGAAGTAAAATGTATAAATATAGTCCTGACCCTTTCATCTTGATTTCCCAAAAGCTTTACAGTACGCAGCACGGGACAGAATCGTCGAATTTCCTTCATCCAGTTGCCAAGAGTGGATTTTGGTGCCACCACCATGTGAGGCCCTGTAATTCCTCTGAATTCATGTAAATAGCCCAACAGAGAGATGGTTTGCAACGTTTTCCCAAGACCCTGAAGAAAAAAATATTTTGACGAAGGCACATAACAAAATGAGCATCCCGGGTAGAAACATCAAAAGAAACAAAAGCAAGATGCGTTTAATGAATTTTAAGGATGTATGCTAATATCAAACACATGTCGAGCATATAAATAATAAATAGAAAGGCACATATGTGCTTTTCATATGCTTAGGCAGTTGAAATCAAATCTATTAACATTGTCAAAAGTTACTTATCGAAGGAACATCTTTTCATATGCTTAGGCAGTTGAAATCAAATCTATTAACATTGTCAAAAGTTACTTATCGAAGGAACATTACATTAAAAGCAATTAACTACTGAACAAATCTATTAACATTGTCAAAAGTTACTTATCGAAGGAACATTACATTAAAAGCAATTAACTACTGAACCAAACCAAAAAGGTGTATAAAAGAACTCAGACCGTTAAAGGCCGATCGTACAGTATTATAACTAGCAAAAGAAAACCATACAGTATTCTAAAAACTAAGGCAACAATAAAATAAAACTGGGTGGAAATCCTTTTATTTTAACAAAATTCAATATGGAAGATTATTTTTATAAAGACAATCAAAATCCAACAAATTCTCAAGGTGGTATGAAGGGAAGTAAAAATTAAGAACTACAGAACTATACCATTTCATCAGCTAAAATCCCATTAATTCCATTTTCATATAACCGAATTAGCCAATTCAGCCCAGCTAGTTGGTAATCCCTCATTTTCCCTTGTATACCTGCAAAAATAACAGGAGGAAACTTAATCAAATCTGTTTAGATACCTAGAAAAAGTAATATTAATCAAACAAAATAAGGATGTAGGGATTGCATGTTTAATCTCAAAATCAGTAGATTGCATAAAATTGATCAAAATCATTGGTAGTATTCAAACGTGTGCCTATGTGTGAGAGCTAATGGTGCAAAAGAAGCCACCTAGGATCCTGGGGCTTAAACCACTTTACAAATGAACTGCATCAGTTTAGTACATCATTTTGACTCATTAATAGCACGCATTTGATCCTCAACAAAATTAATATGTATATACGCATATATGTTTGTATATAATAGGACAAAGATAGATTGATAGACAGATAGATATGAAGGAATGTTTAATATTAGACAGCAACGTTACAAAGTAGTATCCTACTTTATGCTAATATCTGAAAAGACTAATTACAAACAAATGGTCCTAAAATCTCCCGTGTATTTTCAACCCTACACTGGATTTTCTTTCACAGAACCGAATTATCTAATGTTTCATGCCGCTACTACTTTGGAATAAACATGCAGTTATTGTACTTTAACTTGTAATGACAGTGGTACAGAAAACGCTAGTCGGCCTAGGTGTTGGACCCAATGTCTAAAGTCTAGGCGGGATCTAGGCGATTTTCCTTTTTTTATTGTTAAATTACAACAATTGATAATAAATGTTAATGTTATAAAATGTGTGGGCGTCGGACTGCCTAGGCAGATTTCTTTTTCTTCATTTAAGGGGTGGTGGAGGTTTTGTTGAAGGTCGAAGGAGGTAGAGAAGGTGTTCATAGTTTGGAGGCGCAGGAGTTTAGAGGACATGAAGGCTACAACGAAGGCAATCAAGGTCTATAAAGCAGTTCACGCTCCCCTAGGTGCTCCCAAAATCTAGGCAGCTAGCCTAGGTACTGCCTGGTCCTAAACGGACGCCTAGACAGGCTAGACAGAGACTTTTTAAATCATTGACTAACGACAATTCTATTTCTGCCGTAACTTTTACCTTTACTATAAATTATTTTAATATTATTATTTTTTATTTTTTAATGTCTATTATTAGTTTCTTATAGCTGTACATTATACTTTTTATGTTAGAAATTTATTGTTTGCTAATTCTTATCAATTGTTGATTTAATCGGCATTGATGTTACACATGGTTATTATTATCAGACAATATATTCTTAGATAACTATTATAAATTGCTTGTTTTATTTATAAAAATATTACTTATGAAGACAGCGATGATAATTATGTCCAATAATGGCTCACTTCTAGTTATAAATTTCTACTATAGAAATAACCGCAAGAAAACAAGCTTCTAGATATCAATTATGCTTTCGGACTTTGCAAGGAGTGATTAGAAGACCACTGGAGAAACTTTACAAATAAACCTCATTATATGTTACTATGTTTTCATGCAATTTAGAGCTTAAGCAATTACTTAGGTGCTTAGGCTATTTGAGCAGCTAGTCCAACCAGCTACTTACTTTATTTCTTCTTTTTAAACATTACCGAGAATATTTACTATTAACTATGTTTCACTGTTTCACATTTTCTCTCATCGGTCTTATCGCACCTCTCCCCGTGACTGACTTTCATTGGTTGCCACAATGAACAGCTTTAGAGGCCCCAGGACAAATAAGGTGATATCCACGAGATGGCTTCAAGGCATACGGGCTTCAGCCCTGTAACCATGCTTCATACCTACTTAACGTTTGAAACTACTAAAAATTTAATTATGGCATATAAGCAAAGTTGGTTTCTCTTAATCATATTAACCATTTCCATTAGCAGCATTAGATGGGTCAGCCACGGAAAATACCAAAACATTTGTTTATTATGTTATTGTAAATACACCATGAAATTAGTGTCATTACAATAAATGTTCAGGACAAAAGAGGCATTCTTATTATCGTAAGCTAAGGCACAATATCAGTGCAGCATATGCTGTCAATTTTTTTGGCATGTGTATGTCTGTGAATTTGGGGGTTACATAAGCTGAAGGAAATAGTCTTGTCACAGTGAAATGAGGTATGAAGGTGGGGTGTAAATATGCAAATAAACATGTCCTTTCTGTTAGGGTGTTTGGGGGATATTGGGTCAGTGGAACGAGAGGTAGGCATTGTGCCGTATGTACAAGGCTACAAGCTTGCAAAGATATAAGAAGTAATAGACAACAAATATCTAGCAAAAATATAGACTAATTTGCTGTTTGTTCCCAGTGACGCGTGGGGACTTGGACAGGTGAGTGATTGTTTACGTATTGAAGCCATCCCTCTATCTGTTCACTGTTATATGCTTCCTTGATCAAACATAAAAGCAGTGACCAAGCACATTGGATTTTAATTTCAGATTTTAAGCTCCTTTTGGAAGGTTAGAGGATTGATTAGACCCTCCCTCGTTGCTCCATTGATTTCTTAGAATCACAATATAGGTGGCAAGTTAAATGGATATCATACTAACTTTTTCAATAATTATCTTCAAGAGTCATGTGTGCATTCCACAATTACAATTCAAAGGCTATCGGATAGATGTAACAGATTGCATATAAATACATGAGTCAAGATCATTCGATAATATTAGCATATCCTCACTAAAGATGAGCTTACAAGATGGCTGTGTTACTAAACGTGTTCCTCCCGCACCAGAAAGACCACCCTCTTCCTCCTTAAGACATTCTTCATCTTCTTCCTCCTCGGTTAACTTGGATGAATGTCGCCCTCTGAGAAAGCAGAAGTGAGTAAATGATATATAATTCAAGTGAATTGAAGAAGCTGAAGCTAACTTCCTAATTAAGAAAAATCAGCTATCGACAATTGCAGACATGCATGACATCAACTTATTTTAATGAGAGATGATGATAATCAAATGCGCCTTCAAATTCAAATGTATACAATTGAAGTTGAATTCAACATGTAACCATCATCATACTATGCTCCAGATATCTTTTAAAACCTTCGCAGTCCTTCTTTACCAATCAATCTGAGTATTGGCAGCTTAAATATCATCAAGGAAACAGTTCTTACAATATCCATCTATGCTTTATTAGGTCTTTCCTTGCTCTTTTCTGACCATGTATATAGTTCGACAGATAGAAATGCACAATGTCAAACAACGCGCATATTTTTTCTTTGTTTGACATACTGTTAAAAGACATACTAATAAAATATCAAACACGCTTTATCCAGCTGAAGAGTCAGCCCGTGAGGGAGAGAAGATAATAAATTCAGAAAATAATAAATGCAAAAAATTGCAACATACTCCTGCAAATGTTTAAAAGGTAAACAAGACACTTACCGAAGTGGTCTGGAGAACACTTAAAAATTTTCACAAGTTAAATTTACAACCATATCAAGACATGGTAACCTAATCAAGTTTCTCTGCCAATTTTAGGAATAAAGAATTCAAAATCGTAACCAAGAAAATCATATCGTGCATACAGAAAAAGCAAACCTGAAACTTTCCAAATACAACCTAGATGTATATGTAAATCATCCAAATAGCTTAGGCATAGCTTAGGCAGCTATCTGTAGAATATTTCAATCACCTTAATAAATATATCATTGTATGGATAAGGACTCATGTGCATGGACCAAAAAAAGATTTTTAAATTTATATACACTTATAATTAAACATGGGTTATAGCAATTAAATAATGAACAAATGGAAGCAGCAAAGGTTTTGTCCTTTCTATCTAGGGGATATATTGGTTATTATATGTCTAGTTTTTCAAAACATTGAACCCACCTCCAATGGTGGGCCCAATTTTCTACAATTTGTTTGAGAGAGCTAACATGTCTTTTTACAGAAAAACCCATGAAACATTATATGTTTGTTTAGCTTTTTCAATATTAGTTCCTGATATCTTTAATATTTCTAAAATAGTTCCTCAAATTGTTGAAAATGGTATTAGATTCCTCAAATTCAACATCCTGTCGTGCTTCGCTTGATTGCGTGATTGCTTAGCTTGAAACAATTTATAAGATGTAGGGGGCCTAATAACAATGTTATGAGTTAAAGGGGCTAATATTGAAACAATTTATAATAATTAGAAGACCTATTCGCAATTTCAATAACTTGAGGGACTAATTTCAAAATATCAAGAACATAAGGACTCTCATCGAGAAATATTATTCTGTAATGATTTAAAATGAATAAATAAAAAAGATTACATTATTGGCTATAGAGAATATATATGATCATGTCAATGATCACTAAGAATGTTGTACTATTCAATTTGTGATTTTATGGAATGTATATGAGCACGCCGCTGTTATTCCAAGTGAGAAGAACAAGAATCATGACGTGTTTGAGAGAGAGTTTAAATTGAGTTTTCTTAGCCTGATAGAATAGTTGAATTTAGTTATACAGATACTAAAGCCTTTGTATTGATAAATTTACGGAGGATAATTTTTTCGCGATTATATAATATAACAGAAGATGATTAAATCAACATCTTTGACTTCATTGCTTATTCTTGACACTCCCACCCCAACCCCACCAAAAAAACCCAAAAAAAAGGTTGAACAATCCAAGTCTTATCCCTGCTCAGGCAGCACAGAGAAAGAAGTTTTACCAGTGGCCATGAGAAAATATTATCAGTTACCATTCTCTATGCTTCTGCTCCATTAGAAAGTTCATCAGTTACCATTCTCTGCATTTCTGCTCCATGAGAAAGTTCATCAATTACCATTCTTTATGTTTCTGCTCCACTACAGATGACATTTACAGGTTCGCAAAAGCTATGAACAAAGTCCAATAGTAGTCACCTAAAACTTGCAGTAGCCAATACAAGTCAAATCAGAAACAGATGATGCTTACATTTAATTAGTGTTTACTACCCATTAAGTTGCTTATTTCCAATTTAAGTCCAGATTCACTAAATATATATAACTAGGAAAGTTTGCCATTCCCATACGGGCGCAGTCAGATGATACAATAATTTTTCTGTCAAGAAGATAAAAAAGGATTAGAAAGAGTATCATAATAATAATAATATGTGGTAAAAGCAATAGCAAATTATTTCTTACTTCTTAGAGCAAAATGGCTCCAACATCTTATAATCTTTCTTTCTTCTTTTATTTCTATATTTCTCTCTTGTATAAATAATTTCAGTCAGGTGCCTTTGAGCTAAGAGGACAGAAAGATGTGTATTTCAACTTTCAAAGCTGCCTAAGAAGGCAAGAAAGGTGCTTGTTTTTGCAGACGAGTCAGACTTTGAGCAGTGGAGTAAACCTCAATATGGTCGTGAAAATGAAACTAATGCTTTTTTAATTTTTCTGTTATACCTCAACTTTTAACCCTTCATGCTCCAGTACAGATGGTTTTGTTAACCATTAATTACTCATATATCTAGCTTCTCAAGTTTTAAAAGCTCGTAACTGTTGCAAAATTTGTCCAATTGTTTGTAGTTCAATAATAAAAGGTATTTAGCCTTTTTGCTGGCCGTTATTTAGGTTTTCTGTCTTGTGTTGGTTGATCTATTTTTTGATATCCCAAAATAAGTTCTCACACGTACAATCGCAATGCATGGGAGTGGTTTAGTCAATCCTAGTTTCTCAAAAGAAAATGAAGTAGAAGAAGAATGTAAAAGCCAAAAAGAAAAAAGAAGGAAAGAACAACACTTATCAATTGTTAAAAAACACTGAAAGGGAGTGAGTCCACACCAGATATATATACATGCCTACAAAAGACCATATATTTATAACTACACAATGACGGATTTAATGATATGGAACAAACATGAAGTCAAAATAAGTCCATTTATAACCCTAATGTTCATATGGAACAAAGAAAGTCAAAATAAGTCCATTTATACCTAATAACATCTAGAACAGGGCTTCATGAATTTACAGATTTAGATAAATGAAATGGATATGATAAAGGTAAAGATACATCATCTATTGATATGTATCAATTATGTGGAGGGAACACTAAGCGAGAGTCCACAGCCACAGATAAGGCATGCATGACTTGAAACTCATGAAACACACACGCATGCCGGCACGCACGCGCGTGGGGACACGTATGCACGCACACACAAGATTAAAAAAATCAAATACATGCATATACTATATGGATATAAATTTGATTAGATAAAATTAATTATCAATTCAGGGATTTTCTGAAAAGAAAAGAAAACTAGTGGAAATGCTTGTGTCGATAGCATAAAATAAAGGTGATGAATAATCTTGCATTGTGCATTAAACAAAGATATTTTTTTCTAATTTAGTTGAGAGAATGACAAATATAAATGGAGATAAAGGATACATGTGTTTTGACTCCAAAGAGCAGACTCCAAAGACTTGGGATAAAAGCATTGGTGTCGTTGCGAGTGTTTCATGAAGCATGAAATTTTATAAACAAAGCTTTTGATGCCATAAAAGGAAATGAACAAAAGAATCTTTAGAGCGAATCTCGGAGGGTATCTAGATGCTAGCTTTTCTAATCAAATCACAGGAATGAAAGATTATGTAAAGCCTTTGAGATCTCGTATAACACAGTAGTGTCGGTTGTACTAAATTCTGGCCAAGTTATCAGGATTCATATGATGGGATTAATGTAATGAATAATCGTATCGTTTCGGTGGGACAGCACTAAGGGCATGCCAATGTTGTAAGCGGAAGAGACAAAGTATAGCTTAGGCTTTAGCAGCAAAAAACGCGAAGAACATTATTAAAAATAAGCTTAAAAAGTAAAATAACAAGAACAAAAGAATGGAAAAACAGAAATTTGAGGAACTCAAAATAAAAAGATATCTTTGAATGTATTGAAACATATTAACGAAAATATACAAATATCTCATCAATATCTAAGTAGACAATTATAGGGGATGACGCGCTTAACAAGATTTAGTTATCCAATACAAGAATTTGCATACTACATAAGAATTGATGATGACAATTACAAGGATCAAGAAGATAGATGTAACACCAAAACATGTTATGTGCTGAATGTAAAGATGTAAATACAAAGGAGCACAAAAGAATGAAAAATGGTGGCATGGTTTTCAAATATGAAAATAGAAGTTCTATAATAATAATAATATATTATTTAAGAAAAAACATGCTTCTGGTCATAACTTTTGATTCTACCCCTCTGTGAGTCACAATTTCAAAAAATTCAACAAATATCCTCACAATTCACACATAGTTTAGAAACCATGTAAAACTCCAAAAACTCAAGACTACCATTTAACTCCATTCATCCCATGTTCTCCATCACTGCGCCTATCAACCACCACTAACTCTCTTTAATACCCCTACTTGCTCATCACTTTTATTTTGCAAGATCTCTTCTTAAAATCAACTCAGTTGTTGGTTACAGACTTATAGCCAATACCATAGAGAGAATAGTAAATTAGAGAATAAACTTTTATTAACCAAAGTTGGTCTAATAGAGATGAGTTGGATAGAAACTTTTATTAAACCAAAGATGCAGGAAATATTACCTTCCTCGTGTCTTCTTCTCTGTTGCAGATTGGGCACCCTTTGCAAAATGAGCAAATATCTCAGTCTGCTGTAGTAGATACTGCAAACGCCCCTTCCCTTTGGTGTTCTAAATATGCAGGTAACATTAGTTTAACAGTTAAAACTAAAAGCATTTATTGCATGTTCAAAATTGATATTTAACTGTGAGATTCACAAACCATGTCAGCGTCAATAGCAGCATTTTGTGCATCGAGTATTTCTTGAATCTTTTGCTTCTTCAGCCTCTCCAGCTCTCTAAGTCGAGCTCTCTCACGCTTTCCAATTTCTGAAGCCTTAAGTGTCCCCTCAGCCTACATAATAACCCAATGAATTTTGAGAAATAAAATTTCTTCCATGCAGTAAAACCTTAATCTCTGCCTTGTTCAATTTAATGTATACCTCACAAAATCAAGAAAAAGTTAATAAAACCATCATAAATACCAGCAAGGAAGAAATTTTTGGGGCAAATAAAAATGTAGCCCCAGCTGAGTACCAAATCAGAGTTAATAATCTTTTCAGAAAAAAACAAGAAACAGAAGATAACCAAAGACAGAATCACAAGTTAAAAGTCTCCACAGAGTAAACTGCCACATCAAAATCAGGTCCATTTCAGAAGTCTGATATGCTCCCTCAACCTCCACAATCTTGATGGGTAACCCTAATGGAGCATATCCAGAAATCAAAAAAATCCTCCATGCATCAACGTCCTGCTCTTCTTTCCATTTTAACAATTAGAAGCAAGCAATAAATAAACATTAAACGGTCAAAATACCAGCACAAAGTAGAAACCTTTTGAGGAAACAAATAACTAATCCCACTGATGACCGAATTAGAAAGGCTGGCTGCAAAGATGTATATACATTGCATACATCAGAGGAAAAGGACCAAAGATGAATCTTTTCAAGAAAATCAGATCATTTTGAGAGCAAAATCACAAGAAAAAGAAAAGAAATAAGAGCTACTTATAAAACCCAAGATTAAAACTCTAGAAAATGTCAATAAGCATCTCCACTTCCCCATATTAAACTATGTTTCTCAAATTATTTCCCAAATTGGTAACAGGCCAGAGCAATAAGAAGCACCAGATGATTAATCATGATAATTAAAACGCAAATAACAAGAATTAGCCATAGATCCCCAAAAAGGAGTAATCTTGACAGAAAACATGACCGAACAAAATTCACATGCATCAGAATTATAAATTAATTTAAAACCCTCGAAACTGAAATTGTACCTCCCAGATTTAGATGCAATAAGAATTGCCAGATCACATTTTGATTCCCAATTATTTCCCTAATTGAGACGCTAAATTGTGATAATTGGAATGCAGATAGCTAAGGGTTGTCGATAAACCCTAAAAAGGAGTAATCTTGACAGAAAAAAAGATTAAACAAAGTACGCATGCATCACAAACACAAAATAACCCCGAAACCCTAAAATCTAAAACCAAGCCTTGCTAAATCTAAAGGAACCCAAAATCGTTACCCTCTCTAATCGAACCTCACCTCATTATCATCATCATCGTCATCACTCTTCCCCTCGTTAAACCCCTCATCGTCCTCCGTCGACTGAGACTCATCGTCTTCATCAGGACTCGCCGGTCTCGCCACAACTTCGAGCTCCTCCTCGTCCTCCACCTCCTCCTCGCTCTTCTGATCGTCGTCGTCAGACTCCGTAGAGTCGCTGGAAGGGATCTCCTCGGAGAGATCATCGGATTCCAAGGGTTTCGCCATGGCGAGTTTGGGGGGAAATACACGAGGGATTTGATTTTGGGGGCTCGAAAAGTAAAGGAGGTGTGAGGGAGAGAGATCCAGAGTGTTGGTCGGTTATATAGGTGAGGCGAATCAGTGGCACGTGCTGGGACTTGCGTACGCGTGTGAGAATGGACAGAGAGGGGAGTTCCCGCCAAAATATTTTGTTGGGGTTTTAGCTTCTCCGTTACCCGGGGTGGGGCCCGGAAGCTCGTGGTAGTAGTCCCTTCACGAAATGTTGCCATTCTCACATCTTCCATAATTCCATATTAGTCCTTCACATCTCAATATTTGCTTGTTTGTCCCTCAAATCTACAAATCACTTGCAAATTCGTCCCTCTGGTATAATGACGTTAGTTTTGAGGGTAAAATTCTGTGATCTTTAAGGGGGCTGTTTGGATCCGTTTTTTGGATCGGTAAAAGGGAGGAAAGCTGTCAAAAATGTCAGTTTTTTGGCAGCTTTCCCTTGCTTTCCCCTTCCAAAAATCGGAACCAAACAGCCCCTAATGGAATATGATGAATTACCCCTTATACTCCTACATATTTGTAACAGCCTCATTAAAAAACCCACTAACCTATTAAGAAACGGGCTTATAACCACAATCCAAAGCTCACACTCCTCCTCCAATGGTTAGGGGCTCCCCAACCCCGTAGCAGAGTTTTTCCAATGGTCATATTTTCTCTAATGTCTATATAAACCTCTAAATTTTCACTAAATTTTATTTCTCACCATCTCTTCTAATATTCTCAATCAAAAAGTGGGATTTGCCAAATCTTAAAGGCTCATGTTCTACTGCTAGTGAGGCTTCACCTTATAAGGCTAACAAGAAAATGCTATTGTGGGCTAGAATGTAGAATATGCACTCGCAAACAAGGGCGGTTTTACGGTTGTGCATTGTACTGAAATGCATCAAATAAAGGTTGTGAGTTTTTTACAATAGCGGATGATAGCGGGAATTTCACTCTAAAGCTAGCCAAAGAAATGAGCATGTTATCTAAGAAAATGGATCAAACCATGTTGCTATTGAAAATTATGCTCGTTGTGTTAGGAACACTAGCGGTCAACGGAGCGATGTATTTTGGGTTTTTTTCATAACGATGTAATTTGGGGGCTTTTTGAAATTGTTTGTTTAATTTAGGAGGGCAATGTGATATTTAAGAGTGGAATCTTAGCCTCATGTAATCTTACCCTTAGAAATCAATGAAATTTGTAGTTTTCCAAACTGCATGTTTGTGATAATATGATACTTGAATGTCAACAATCATTTTATTAAAAATTTGACTTGTTGGATTTCAATTACATGCAACATCAATATAACTCAAACCTGTCTAAATTTCAGCATATACTAGCAAATACATCATGCAAAAGTGTACAATGCATACACGCAATTTGCCATATGCAAATACTCCATTTACATTTCCATTTGCCATGAAGCACATAGATATCCAACATAGTATCACAAACTGTACATGTGCACACATCCAAACTTATAAAATTCACATACGTAAATATGACTCAAATCTCATGTTGTCAACAGTTAAGCCTTCGTTTCATTTCATGATAATTATTTGCAACATGCACAACTACGTACAAAATCCAACCAAACTTATGTCTAACATGTACAAATATACCACAATATGAGTAAAAGATGCACAACAAGCACACGTATATCCCAAAATAGTAAGTAATATGCAACCTACACATACATGTCATAGTTTGAACAAAAGTAGAACAAGCACACGTATAGATCATTTTGGATGAAAGTATGTGCACTTGTATACATAGACAAAAAAATTGTTCTCTAGCATCATCATCTCCAAACAACTCTTTCTGTCCCTCTTTGAGAATTGCTTGAAGGCCTTACACATCCCCGAGCACTAGCTAAAGCTCTCACGCCTACGTGAGAACTTGTTGAAGCTTGAATGTTGGAGAGTTGATGATGTGGTGTGGGTATAGCTGTTTGCTTGTAACTGTGTGAAGCCCCCACACTAATAGAAAATCACATATTCTAGACGGAATATTCTAGACGGAATTTATTCCGTCTAGAATGTATTAAACTAGACGGAAATTTTCCGTCTAGAATAAAACATTCTAGACGAAAAATTCCGTCTAGAATAGTATCCTAGACGGTTCTTTTATTTTTTTTATTTTTTTAAAAATAACTAGGTATTCTAGACGGAAATTTCCGTGTAGGATAACCATTCTAGACGGAAATTTCCGTCTAGAATACCTGGCCATTTTTTAAAAAAAAAATTAACCCGTGAAAAAATTAACAGCCCTCCTTTTCCCCCCAAAATGGAAATTTTTATCCCAAAATCAGCCTCATTCCCCCAAATCCTCAACCTCACACCCCGGCCCCTCCCTCCCCCTCTACTCCCTCTCTCTCCAAGGCCAGGGCGCCGACAATCTCCCGCCACCGGAGGCGACCGCTAAGCTCCTCCTCTCGACCTCGATCTCAAAGCTCCGCCTCTATGGCGCCGACCCCGCCATCCTCAAATCCCTCGCCAGCACCAACATCTCCGGCGGAGAGTGTTTCGGTTCCCTCCATCATATGTCGATTGGCGGAGACGGCAGCGCCGATGTTGATGATGTTTGTGTGGTGTGTGGGAGAGCGGGGTCCAAGAAGTGCTCGAGGTGTAAGAGCGTTCGGTACTGGTAGGAATTTCATGATCCCTTGAATTGTTAATGTATTATTTAATTAGAAACCTTAATGCGCTAAATTAGAGCCGTAAAGCTGACTTTTTGAAGTTAATTTTGTTATTTTTATCATCCTGCGTAACGAAACTGGTTTCTTTTTGAAAATATTGTCGGTTGCTTATGTCTGCTAGGGAATTAAGGAACAATTAGCGGAATAGAATAAATTAGTAGAGGAATATGTTTGTTATTACAGACTATTAAGTTGCTTAGCACCTCGGATTATTGCAATTATGTGTTTGAACATCTAAAGATGCTATTTTGTTATGAAGACCTGTGCTCTCTAGTTAGAATCCCCTGAACTCTGACTGTGATGAATAAACAATGAACACAGACAAGTAGATCATAGTTTTATATTCAAGAGATTTAGTCGGCATGCTGCTTATTTAATTACTTATTTTCCCAAACCTGGATCTATGGGTATAGTTTATTGTGATTGTGTCAGTAAATTTTAGAACCTATTTATCCATAAATTTTCTGATTTCACAATGCAAAGTTTGCAAAGTTATCAATTGGTAAGCTGGTGATGTAAACCATCTCTCTGTTTTAATCTCTCGGAAGTACATAAGCAGTATGCTTTTATGAAGATGATTTGATCTATGTTATCAAATACTTGCAAGTTCCTCATGCTAACCACACTGACTATCAACTCATAGGCATATTTGAGGATGGCTTTGTAAGTCTTCTTACAGTTGTTTTTACTCGGTTTTTTGGCATCCATCAGTAGCATGTTGCCTAGGGATTAACATCGGAGTTTGCTTTCTTTCTTGTAGGTGAGTCGTTTGACTGAAAATAAAAAGAGCAAAGATGACTTGAGGCTTCCCATTGATGACAATCTCCTTACTCAGGTAAATACCTGTTCTTTTTGTTTGTGATTGAGTAACTATAATGAATAAGGCCATAAAAGTCAGTTGATGTACGTTTTCAGTATAATTCCAAATTATCTGAATTATTTGTTTGTGGAAAGAAGGCTCAAAATATAGAGGTAAAGTAACATAATATAGCAGCTGAAATAGTGTAGACTCAAGCCATAATTTACATACTTTAACATTGTTTGTTTAGTGAGCTAGGAAATATGATAAAAGAAGTATCTTAAACACTGCCAATTTGAAGATATACTTCAAACTATGTAGTTTGAAATATTGTTGCTCTCAAAATATGGTTTCAGAGTACTGTTTTCAGGTCAATTGTGGTGGGATATTCTCCTTTGAAGCTCTCAAAATATGCCTAGAGGTAATTAGTTTGTAGCTTTTTGGTTTGCACTTTGTAGTTCTAATCAATGTTTTGAGGTTTTGAAAAATGGGTTTGGTTGTTATAGCTGATAACCCAGACGATTTCAAATGCGAGACATATGTCCAAAAGAAAGATTTTAGATAATTTATCGAATTAATGTAGAAGTCTGCATTGTAGGGTTGGTGCCTGTTATACTAGATCTTTCTCTTACCTTGTCCTTTTTTGCACCATGGTGTATTGCATGTGCACATCCAGGTATTCATATGTATTTTGGTTTATCATATATGTACATGTAACAATACAACATACAACATATGTATGTTAATTATAAATGTATATATGTTCTGTGTATAGACTATATTATTTTAGGTTTTCAATCTTAATTAACAATAACAAATGGAAACTACATATTACCTTTCTTATAGTTGTTGCCATGTTAGCTGGAATTTTTTTGAATTGAATTCATATTCTTGGATTATTAACCCAAACTGAGTTTTGTTTGATTAATGAATATTTTTCCTCGTCTAATTTTTTTGTATGTTGTTGTCATGTTAGCTGGTAAAAATGTTCCTTACATTAAACATAGTTTTTCTTCTACAGAACTTATAAAACTACCCTTGGCAATTTGAAAAGTTGTTCCCTTTGTATGTTACATCATGCTAACATTATTTTGGGAATTTGTTTTTAATCCATGTTATTGGTTTTTTTCACTGTAGGAGATGTATAGGCAGGTTGGTTCTCAATTTCGCGAAGAACTGCAGCGGCAACATTTTCCTTCATCAATGGTAAAACCTCAAATTGTTCCAAATTTAAAATGTTTTTTTAGGACAAGTGGACCACCAAGTTCTGTGGTGAAGATGCTTATGTTTACAACTCTTATGGCCTATCCTCATTGAGAGATTTGGATGTCTTAGCATTTGTATTGTTCAATTATTCATTTTTATTAAAGATAAAATTGATATAAATCTATTTAAAAAGTTGTTAATATTTCATGTTTATTTATTAATTATCGTTTGTGTTTCTCTTTTGTAGGTCGTTGCCTATGATTTCGGTATCAAACATAATATCTTAAGGTGCCTGGCATCTTACGGATGCAAAATCACACTTGTGCCA